GGGCCATTGTGCCTGACCCCTGGATGGACCTCTGTAGTGAAGTTCCTGGATAATTATCTCTGCCAGGAGAGTCTTTTGTAGAAGAAGTGTCGGATATTTCGCTTTCACGTCCATATGAGCATGACCCAGTCGTCCACGGCATCTCAGAATACCCTCAGCATCAGGCCTAATGTTGAGGAACCTAAGGGATTTCATGATGTTATTGTTTATCCTCACTCTCTGATGATGTCGTATAAGAAGACGACCAGCGAATTCGAGCTCTTTTCCACTCAAGAATTGAGACTCTCGTGATATTGTGGTATCCTCTAGTATTGCTATAGTTAGTTTCTTTCCTTTTCCGCCAACTCTTCTAACGAGAGCATTCAGAAATCTGAGCGCTCGGGCCAGCACTCGTTTCGCCTGAGTGAATGTTCTTACATAACCTGGCTGGAATATTTCCGATTCATCGAAAGATGTCGATGTTGTGGCGGTGAAAACTGTCTGGTAGGGAGTTCCCTCCACTGAATCCTTGGCGAGTTCTTCGCCGTCGTCTTGTGGAGCGTCGAACATGTCGTGGGCTGGCCTTTCGTTCTGATGTTTCTGAAGGAACCATGGTCCTGTCCACCAGAAGTGCTTCTTCATTTCTTCCGATGTGAGGCCTCTTGTGCCGCAGTCGGCGGGGTTGTCTTCTGTTGCTACATACCCAAACACGATACGATATCCTTTCTTGCTTAAGTGTTCTGCTATTCCACGTATTTCCAGCAGTCTATTGTGTACGAATACTCCAAGCTCTCGCTGATGATCATGCTTGACCCAATTCAACACGATCTCAGAATCGGAGAAAATGTATCTATGCTGATCTTCAGCACATTTTCCAACTGAGAAACGATTGAATTGGTTAGACGCATTGCTAAGGTTATTGCATTCAGTTCCAGTTTGGGTATTGTCGTCTGTCCATGTATTGATGGTAATTTCGATCTTGCCATGAGCAAGTGTGATGATAGCAGATGTGGTCTGCAAAGGTATGTGCAAGCGTCATTCCCCTTGTACTAGCGTCGGCGAATGTAACTAATATTGCTTCACTCCCTTAGGAGCTACGAATCGCGGTAGTTCTCTTTGAAATCCGTGCGTATTGTTCCAAATTTGCTCCCATTCATTCGTTTTTTCGGTCGATAATTGAGTATCCCAATCATATTGTTCTTTCCACAGTTGCTGAAGGAATACCCGTGCACTGTGAAGCAGTGGAACGAACCATCCCAGTGGGTCGTAAACCGTCGCTATTGCACTAGTTATTGTCCGCTTCGTTATCGGTGAACGCTCAGGAAGGGAGCAGGACAGGCAAAACATGTCCGTCATAGTGTCCCAATGAACACCGAGAACTTTCAGGTTCTGCATGTCCGCTTTATCTATCGTGTCTATTGTTTCCAGTACCTCCTTATCGTTCGAAGCGAACTCACGCAGATTCATTCCTAGCTCACCAAAAATCTTCTTCGACTTCTTGTAGAATTGAACTGCTTCTTGGTATGTGTCCGAAGTCAGAATGAGATTATCGACATAGATGTTGGCTTTGATCTCATCCGACAGCGGATCCTCGACATGTGTCGAGATGATACCTCGTTGTCCCCGCTAAGAGGAATGGGGAAGATTTAATCCCAAACGTGACTCGGGTGAAACGGAGTACGAGGGTATTGTCTTTCTCTGGTGGCTTCTTGTTTTCAGCTTAATCTTCACTCAAGAACGAAAGTAGCAAGAACATGTAGTCGCACCAAGCAAACAAAGAGAGAGTAGAGCATTGCCGCGCAACGCAGTCACAAAATGAGTCGGTGGAGCCAAACTTCCGTGATGGCAGCACTGCCTAGACTACCATCTGGAATTGCTCTTGCTGCAAGGTCCTTGGAAAGTGAAGGGAACAAGGACATTACTGCCCAAAGAGTTCCCCTTGATGAGTGTGTTGAATATTCTTTCAGAGAA